CCAGAATCTGCCCCCAAGCCATCGAACTTCTGCCCCGGCAGAGGCTCCTGCAACCCCGGGATCATTCCCTGTGGTCTCCGCTGTCATCCGACGCCTCCTCACAAATCCATCTGTTTCCATGAGAAACGAGGGGATGTGTTAAGTCTTCTGGCTCGCGTGCACGGCTGGTTGTGGACCTTAAACTTTTACATTCCCTTGGGGAGCTTTCACGGTTACTTCCCTGCTACACCATTCCCTCCCCTCCTCTACCCCTGACAGCAGCGGGAGCCAGGAAAGGGAGACCGTGACGGCAAATGCACAGCGAGCCCTACCACAGGCCGCGATGAGGAAACAATCTCTGATTGGTTACGATAGCCAAGTACTCCTCACACCATTGGATGATATCCATGCCCCTCATGATTGGATTTTGGTGAGCGTTTCAAATCCGGTCATGTGGCGTTTGACTTGAGGTGTTGCTACATGGTAGCTCATCTGTGCAAGCCATCAAAAGACCCGAAGATCACTGTAGGTCAGCCTCAAAATGTCTTTTAGTGGCTGTGAGCAAACCGAGACACGCGTGATTACAAGATGAATGGGCCAGGGTCACTATTTCACAGTTTTTGTTGTCACTTTTGTTGCTGTTCTAGTGTGATTTGTGGTGTTGTCTAAAATCCAAACTGCAATCTGTGTTTCTTCTCTTAAAAAAATACTGGAAAACCTTTTGATAGGACACAAGAACATTTAGTACAAGAACATTCGGTATTATTTGCTAAATTGAAGAGACTGTGTATGTAATAACAGTCGACATAAAGAACTAAATAACAAGAATTGTGTTAAAAGTGCTTAAAAAATGTCCATGTGAGGCTCAGCCCACTAACACACACTAATCATTGATAAGGTTCAGAAGTAATTGATCTTCTCATTACAATGCAGTGTTCTGTTGGAAAACTTTGAGTTCTAGTATCAAAGTGACATGTCACTTAGGTCACTTTGACATTTAACCCCTACCCGAATTGGTGGAGACTAGACACATCCCTATGGAAATGATAGTCCTCGGTGGCTGTGGCCATCATGAGAAGCAAGAGCCACAACCCTCCCTGCAAAAACTGCTTGAGGACCACCTCAGAGGGGCTGACCCAGCCTCTAAACACCAGTGTCTGGACTAAATCCTGGACAGCATGAATTTGTTTACATATTAGACGTAAAAACATCAAACTTTTTTAAAAGTAGTGTTTAGTATCCATTTAGCATTAGAATTATATTTGTGCAGAGTAGCTATACCAAAAAAATCTTTCC